AGTATATTATATACTTAACTGTTATTACAATATCATGTTATATTCTAGATATCTAATATATAATTGCGCATATCCCAAATAGCAGCTAAAATAGCGATTTTTCCAAAAAATGGAAAGTAATGCATACGCCCATATTATCACTTGCCTTACATGTAATTTTCCTAATATTTATCTTAAAATCTTGTTTCACTTGCATTTATGGTAGCCACATATATAACGATATACTTGCTGTTGTTTAAAATTACACATGTGTACGTCACTCTGGTACTGACATTAATACCAAGTTTGAATGAGTTCATTCATAGATCAATGATGATTTTTCCCTACTTTTCTTCCTCACTACCTTAAAAAAAGTACGTATTGAATAATTTGACAAATGGGCGAACACCAATTTGCACAAGTCTCGGAATCGTGTCAATCGAAACAATTGTGCTAATTTTGCCCAATAGCTTCACTGTATACTTGTGCACTAATAGATCAATAAAGCACAAGTGTGCCGTTACATGTGTGGTTATACTTAAATGTTCTTTCTTTTCTTGAAAATTGTATAAATGGAGTTAATGAAATATTAGTCGAAACAAATATGAATTTTGTCAGAATCCAGTAATAAATAATTAATTTTAAATTTTTAGGAATCATTTATTAAATGTATTTTATTTTAATTTGTACTGTCATCTTGCTTTTAATGTTTAAATAATGATACACTTATAATAAAATTAGTTTTTGGTCTATTACGTGTTTTTTTTTATTTCCTTAAGCTATTGATTGCGTGTTGCGTGTTTGTATTTCTATTTATTTTTACTTTGTGTAGGAGCACATGGAACAAGAACGTACTGTCTATTCCGCTCATTGAAATGAAACTCAAATATGTTTTTAATTCCGATTATATCAAAGCAACAATGTAGCTGTTCCCGCATATGCTGGCTTTAAACGTCATAACAAAATTCTGAATTGTAGAAATGATCGATTTAACTTTGAACTCTTTTGAATTTTATTTTATTTATAGATAACAGACATGTGATAATACCAAATACAAAAATTGCACATATTAGGATAGATATTAAATCGTGATTATTTTTCAGAGCCCAAATTTGGATTGTCTCAACGAGGTAATTTGGTAGTGCAAATCGGAGAATGGAGATTCAATAAACACGCTTGCTGGGGGTCTAAAGTACGTTGGACGTGTATTAAAAAGAAAACCGGATGCACCGCCGCTATAACCACAGTTGAAAACGTTATCGTCAAGACCCTCGGTTCTCATAACCATTAAGTTTAAAAAATGAAGATGTATTGAAATAATATTGAACTCTTATTACATATGTTAAGCAAAGAAGCCTTATTCATCTGGCTTTTAGTATCTGTAAGCGTTTTCATTTCATTGATTTACTTGGACTACCCTTGTTTAAGCGTTGATAGATGGCTGATGTTTAGTGTAAACGTTTTTATCGCCTTCTTCATAATAGTTATAGTCTAAGATCTGTAGTAGGGGCGTCCTTCACACATCTGCTTGCCGTATGAAAAAGTATTATATATTAATGATATGTGTATATGAACATATAACTAGCAAGATAGGTTGCTTAATAAAATGTAGTTAGTTATTTACTTAAAATAATGCTATAGCTTTGTCTCGTTACCATTAGATTTTGCACACTTTTTTTTTTTTTTTTTTTTTTTTTTTTTTTTTTTTTTTTTTTTTTTTTTTAACGTTGGGAAATGCATTTACGCACGACGTGTGGGACTCACCGGCGTAATACAGCCAGTACTACCCACTAAAACCCAACAAAACCTTCCCCCGTCTTAATGGGGCGTCGCAGGATCGCTTACGCATTCAACTACGACGCCCCGACGGCAGGTCCGCCGAAGCAGACCACCACAACCATGGGGTTGCTCCACAGTCCACTCTGCTATCAGAGAAGTACCAGGAGCAACCCGCATGGTACACCGCCCTCCGAAGAGGGCCACCTCCCACCGCCCACCGAAGTGGGCAACCTCCCTGTGCGTTTCTTAGCTTCGCTACTGCTACTGAGCCCCCCCACCACGACAAGGTGAACGCACGTTGGGGGGGGGCAGATTTTGCACACAACCTAACTTCAGATCTAATAAAAAAATAAAAAAGTCCGCATAACTGAATGTGTGTATGTCAATCTGTTATTTTCCTGACATTTTGTATTTTCAATTAAAATCTGGTTTATTTTTTGGAGGAAGTAATAAACAAAAAACTTGACATACTGCTTTATTTTAATTAAATTTAGCCTTGGCCATTTTCCTTAGGATTTCCATCTTGATATTTATTTGTTTATATACTGCTTAACACTAAATTTTATGTATCCGGTAAATAGATGGGTGAAAGACGACCTTGACCTTATTCGTATCTTCTACAACTTTATTGTTCTACATGTATGTAAATAAGTGTAGCATTGAAATCTCAGAAGCATAATGTGCTCAACTGGCATAGTTTAAGACATAAACAAAAAGTGCTATTGCATTGAACCATTTTGCTTCATTTTATTGCACTTTTAAATATAATCGTGTTTTATCACTTTTTAGTATGTAAGTATCAAAGTATCGAATAGACAAGTCTCATAATGTCGTTAAGAATTAGTGTTAGTTTTATCATATTTAATATCCTGATTCAATAAAACGTTGCTTATCTGTAATTCGTCTTTTCATAACAGTCACTGACAATTCAAAATATATGTATTTTCGTAATGTATGATATAGTACGTGTTAAAATCTAAAGTATTTTTAGGATTACATAAGAGCTGTTACTTTATCTTGTGTAAATATCAGAACTGGTATTCAATGCAGATTTGTTTTCAGATTTGAATCCAGTATTCGCCCAATCTCAACGCGGCAATCCAGTGATAATGATCGGGCAATATCGCTTCAATAGAGTCAATAAGTACGGAAGTAGGACTAGATGGGTCTGTGTTAAAGCGAAAGCGGGATGTAGAGCCAGTTTGCACACTATGGACAATGCTATTGTTAGAGTATGGGGTTTCCACGACCCCATGGCTCATACTAGCGCTAATAGATTTTAATATTTGGTCTAAAATATTAAATTAACAGACGTGCATTAGTTTTTACAGTTTATATTGATTGATATTGAGAATAAGGGTGTGAAGATGAATTTAAATAATTGAATTTAATAATTTTTTGTTTTATTTAGTATACATACTTAGTTGATATTTTTATAAGATTACTCAATAGTTATAATAAGCTACCCACTGTATGAGAGCAATATAATCGTCGTCCTTTATATTTTATAGTTTATACGAAGTAAGCTGTATAAACTAGTGCGTGTGTGAACTACTAATATAATAAAAAATTTTAGTCTTGATATACGTAAATGATGAAGTAAGGGCAACTACGTACATATTCAGGTATTACCGTTTTAGTGATTTAAAACAGTATTACTTTGTAAAATTATACATCATATCAAATGTTTATGGTAATATAATAAGCAACTTTTCAGGAGAGACGATTTTGTATAATTGTATACTTTTTAACGAATGAATTTATGTCTACAACGTTACGGTACGCGATTTTATAAAATCGATTAATTGAATATGTGTGAAGGTGCTCTTATAGATGTTTTAATACAATCTGGTTGGAAAATGTTTACGAATCATTCATCATAGAACAAAACGGTGCTTTTCCTAACTGCTCTTAAAATGTTTAAAACACGAGGCTCGAGAGCGAATGTAATGACATAAAATTTAGGATAGTTTTACATTTTGTTAATAAGGGTGGGTAGAGGTAAGTGTTAACGCATAGTTATAAATTGTAGTTCAAAATTATTTCACAGCTAATTGAATTCTTCGCGGAGCTACTAACTTAAATATTACTTAAGGTTTTGGTGGTGGATAAATAGTTAATGCTTTTATTCATTTAATCGTGAGTAATGTTTATCTTATTTAATATTTTGCGTATATAGATCATATTATACACTGTATTATTGGTTTTGATCTTTGTTTTATTTAAACCTAAATAACATTATTTTAATGAAACAAAAATTTATTATACAATATAATTAACTTAAACTTGTTCTATTGAAACAATTTTTTATCTATAATTGGATTAAATTAAAAATTAAAAAAAACCCCGACATGTAATTCGCCATTTTGTGGTGACGGCCATCTTGGAGTTACGATGCCACACACAGACACACGTACACAGACAGACACGTCAAAATTATCACACCGTCGTTTTTGCTTCGGGGGTTAAAACAGAACGTCTTTAAAAAATACCGAATTTTTACGGTAGGGCGATTCCGCTATAGAGGATTCTCGACTTTAATTTTTAAATTAAATTATTTGTTACTTATTATGATATCAGTGCAAAGAAAAAAGTTGAAATTTAATATTCAAAGAAAAATATTTCATTTTACTTTATATTTAAATTTTTGGCGCACTTGCAAAAATCACCATTCGAAGAATTAGTTTAAACTGCAAAATTAAAACAGGCAACACGGGACGGGAAACAGCAATTGCCAGCTGTTTGAGATTATGTTTTTTAGCTAAATGTGAAGTGATAATATTGATGTCTTTATATACGCCAAAAAATGTAAGTACTTGTTATATTTTAAGCACCATTGATTATAAGAAGATAGTACTGTTAGTTTGTTGCACCCGCGATACAAAAGATATAAAAGTTTGTGTTTTTCACAGAAATAAAGTACTACACTTTTGAATCTTTGTAAAAGTTAGAAGAAATCAAAAGTAAACTTAAATTAACAGACTTACTTATGTGTTAATCGATTTTAAGAGCGTAATGGTAGTTGTATTGAAATAAACATTAACTTAAATTGGTTGCACCCGCTCGTAATCAGAATTGCGGGTGCAAAGAGTTCTTTGACAACTAACCTTATTGTGGATTTATTATGTATTTTGTTGTTTTGATATACCTTGAATAATAATATATACGTATGATTGATGATATATATTTAATATGTGTGTTTATATTATACTTTCTACTTTTTTATAGAAACATCGACTAAAATGACAGAGGAGTTACAGAAACAGTCTGCTTCACAGAAATATAGGTGGAAGTTAAAAGAAAGTCCTGAAGTTCATGCAGATCATCTCCGTCGAGAAAGGGCTCGTGATTTAAAACGGAGAAAAATAATGAAAAAGAAAATAGAGACTGATGAATATTTGAAAATACTGGCTAGAATCAGATCAAAAGAAAGAATGCAGGCAACTAGAAAACGTCGTAAAGAAGAACAAGTTAAGTGAACAGGTACCAGATACGATAGTCCTTGCACACTGGAACAGGCTGTGGTAAAAGTGAAACGTAATCTACCAGCTAGTCCCACTAAAGCAGTGGAAGTTGTAAGTAAAATTGGCGCTGAATTCCAAGTTGCATCTGCATCTGACAATAATGACGTCCCTAAAGCAATGTTTCGAAAACTAACGGATGAAGGAAAACAGCAGATTTATGATTGTTATAATAGGGATGACATTAGTAGACAAATGCCTGGCATGAAAGATGTGAAAACAGTTAAGTCCAATACGGGAACGAAGTGATGAATCCACAAGAGGACAATGATCATGAACAATGGAGAAGCCTATCAAATTTTTGAAGAAACGTATCCCGAAATATCTGTTTTTGAATTTCTGTGTCTCAATTTTCGGAGAATATTGACGTATTTGAAAAGAAATAACTAACGTAAGTGAAAAAGAAGTGTACTGATTAGTAATAAAAAATCCTTTGATATCTTATTTTGGTCCTATAAATGTTTTTATTCATATTTATATTCACTTAAAGTAGACGAGTTGTACCCGCGATAAATTGATGTTGCACCTGCGATTGGTTTAAAAGTGAATTATTAATTATTTATGTTTGTTTTCTTTAAACTTCTTTATTTTTGTACTTGATTAATTTAACACCTTACGAAATATCAAGGCATAACATAGTAAATGTTACACAATTAACAGACTTACTTATGTGTTTTTTTCTTATGACCTAGAAAGGTTGGGCCAACTTTGTTGCACCCGCGATAGCACTTTGAACTTTCCTCCTGGATATATAAATATTACATTAAAATTCTTGTAAACGTATATAAATTGAACATGTTAAAATGTAGTTCTTCCAAGATTATTTTTAGTAAAAATGTTGTTTATTTTATTATTAAGAAACATTGCATGCGTCTAAATGTTGCATTCGCGATAATGGAATGACCCGGTAGGTACTTGAAAATTTTATTAAAAAAAATTAAACCGACTTCAAAACCATAAATAGGCACTCAAAAGCGAAAAATAAATTAATATAACCAAGCCAAGTAGTAATTGTGTTATTAGGGTGAAAAAGTGAGAAAGATGTTATTAGGGACTATGGTTTTAGCCAAATATGTAGAAGCGTGTAAACATTATTTCTTTGTTGATTTCTGATGCTGATTAGAACTTGTTGAATATTATGTCATATCTATGTTGTGATTACAATAGAATTCCTACAAAATATTATATTTCATTAAAATTATTTTCGGTATATAAGTAAAATAAGAAAAAAAAATAACAATGGTAATTAAAAGTAAAGGTATAATAAAATCACATCTGTAAAACACTGTGGTATTTTAATGACTTATTAATTTCTTTCAGTAAAAATAGTTGAAACAATTCGCGGGACGCTCATGTTGTTAGCGGACGGTCAAAAATTTTATGTAGAAAAAAAGAGAAATGTAAGGACGCGGTGGCACTGCAGTATGAAAACAAAGGTTAAATGTAAAGCTTTCATAACAACTATTGAAGGAACAGTTGTTTTTGGAAATTTAGAGCATAACCATGAATGACACTGTGTAAGCGGATGGAGAGCACGTGAAGTTGGTCAATGCATTTTTTTCCTTAAACTTTTAATAGTATTTACGTTTACTTTTTTTTTTATTTAAATTTATTCCATAATGTATGTGTTCGACGGTTCTTTTTTATTTTCAGAATTTCATGTCGTGTTACATCCTCACTTGGACGTTTCACCCCTTTTTTATGTTGGAAAATGCATTTACGCATACCACCTTTATACATACAGGTTAAGGGCTATGATAATTATGAAAAATCGGGACCAAAATTTGAATTATGTAATATTCCTAAAAAACGTGCATATACGCTCAAAGTACTTTGAAAGTATGTTGATAATGGGATCTAGTTGCAAATAAGTCTGATAATTACTAATTACTGACATTCATTCACATATCGTACGATTTCGAAATATATTATGTTTTATTTATATAGAATATAGAATCATCAATTTTAATCTACCATAATAAAGTTATTTTATCCAACCAGAACCTTTGATAAGACCGTGGATTGACTTTGTCCGTTTCAACAGAAAAGATAGTGTGACTTGTTTACGACTTAGAACGTACGAATTCCATCTAATAAAATTTCTTTTTTAATGAAAAAGTCAGATTTTTACCTGAATGTAGGGATATGTAACATTATACTTGCGGGACCTGATTCTGTAGTAGAAGGAACATAGAGTTTTGTATGACTGTTTGAGGTCCTTTTATGTTTTAATATAATCTTAAAGTAAAAGAGGTCCCTATCTAATACATACTCGTATATTTATTCATATAAAATAAAGCTTTAGCAAATTAAAATTTAGTCCTTCTCTACCTGTAGTCTTAATTTACACTCAAATCTAAGAAAGTATTAATAGTCCTAAAGGTAAAAATAAATAAGAAATATTTAATAAAGGAATTTTGTGTACGAGAATTATTATTTTCTTTTTGTATTTTGTATTCAAAGTTGCAAGTCTTCTGTGTTTTCAATTATTAATATTAATAAAGATATAAGAATTCATCTTTAAATATCTAATTATAGCTTTAAGATTTTTAACGTCCCACTGCTAGCCACGGGTCTTCCAATGCGAGGGGTAGGTAGTAGACCACGTTGGCGAAATGCGGATTGGCAGACTTAATACGTCTTTTAAAAACGACGTAATTATATTATGCGAGGTACAAAACTTACTATTTAAAAATTTGAACTATTAATTCTACTGACTTAAGCTGATATAAATTCTTTCAGTCAAACTAATTCCCACTTATGAAACCACTTGTGCTGGTCACCACGTTATGAAGCTAGGTGAGCACACGTTTTACTTAGGAATATTTAATGGAGAAAGAGGAATAGGGAGGAGGAGGAGGATGGAGGCGTGGACTTGTATGAAATGCCAAGTGTATGTTATAACTATTGATGGAAGAATTGTGAAGACTTGCAACGAACCTCATAATCATTTTTAATACTGTTAGAACTAAGTGTTTTATAATAATTCATAGTTAAAGGTAGAGCGTATAATATGCTGATAGCGTAAATGTGTTTGATTAGTTCAATACATATAAACTGTCCTTGTCATAAACTCTATTCCCTTAGGTTCAATAAAAATCTGTTTTTATTAAGTAATTTTTGAGAAATGAGAGATTTGTAGAGGCCTAAAATAGTTAGTAGTTATTAGTAGTATAGTAGGTAAAAATTTTATGAAGAAACAGAAGGATGTTTGTAAATATATTTTAATTGTAATTAAAATTATTTGTTTATTATGCAATATGTTTATTAAATATGTTTCGATATTATATATTTTGTTTCATTATACAAACATATAACCATACAACGTTTAACATTACACCAGCTTCTAGATTGTAAGGTTGTGTATAAAACTAAATAGGTATAATATTATTAAATAATACAAGGTTTTGGTTTTTGTTTCAGAACCAGAGTATGAAATGTCGCGTAAAGGTAATCTCGTAATGAAGCTCGGAGGCCACAGATTCAATAAAATTATAAGTAGAGGGCCGAAAGTACGATGGACTTGCGTAAAGTATCGCAACACTAATACTTATTGTCGTGTCTTCGTCGTCACAATTGATGGAAAAATAGTAAGGATAGTTAACGAGCCTCATAATCATTTGTAAAGTCTATTTTTAAAAATTCCCAATGTATTTGGGTATATACATATGTTGCACCATTTTGCTTTTAATGTTTTATTATATAAAATAGTGTCTTATTGCAAATTAAAACGTAGTAGTAATTTATTAAAATATTTTTCGTTAATAGACGAAAATAACGCTCGCTTCATCTCGTCGGTATATATTAGAATGTAATTGTTCTTTCTATGATTTCCTATATCACGTAGGTAAAGTAAGTAAGCAAATTTTCGGCATTCCTAAGGGAAAGCGATAGTAGTATTCAGCCCCGTTTAACGCCCCACTGCTGGGCTCAGGCCTCCTTTCAATACGAAGGGGATCCGGCTATAATAGTCTACCACAATGGTCAAGTGAGGGTTGGCGGAGTTCACATGTCTTTTAAAAATTTGCTAGTTTCTCTCAGACTTGCAGACTTCCTCAGATGTTTTCCTTCACCGCAAGACAAGTGGGTCACATTGGAAATGATTCGCACATGAAAATATCAGAGGTACGAGACCCGAGATCTGAATTTTGGGGAAAGGGAACCACTGGCTTGTTAAGCAATAAGTATAGCATATGAGCGCTTGCAGTAGGGGCACCAATACTGTAACCATTCTAAAAGAAGCGAATAGAGTTTGGAAAGAGGAAGGTTATAAAAAGTGGATAATTGGACCTTAAGCGCTGCATGTTTTTAATAATAAGTCAAGTCTTAAAAAATATCACGCCCATTTGCAGAAATTAGAGTAATTATAATATAGGTAAGTAGATAGGTACTGTGAGGAAGAGGTAATGCTTCTGTTTTGTGTGTGTGTTGTGCTTATGAATTTTCATTTAAGGGAATAATTTATTTGTAGGGCTTTATATGTTTATTATATTTTAATAATAAATCTTAAGGTAATTTTGGATTAAATAATGTAATTCCTTTTCTTAACTTAATTTAATATTTATGCACATTATTATTAAGTACCTAAATAGATTCTCATAATATGTGATACTTTAAATTAAGTCTTTAATAAAGAATTTATTTCCTCTCACGCTTAATGTGTTTTTTTTTACATTAAATACCTATCCTAGATCAGCAACTTACTAGCGTATTTATTCCATGAAATTTAAAACTGTTTATATACCCATAGTTACCATTGTTAATGTTCGATTTTTTAGTATTTTCATATGATATTTGACTCTACATGCCCTGTTATTTAAATTTGTAACAGACTAAATCACAAGTAAACTACTGGATATATCAATACGAATAAAGTTTAACTGTTCTTGTACTTGGGCACTCAATTTCAATAATTTAAATAAATATTTTTTAGACAAAAATGCCTCCCAATAGGGGAGAATTCCCAGAATTCATGATACAAATCATAATAAAATCTTATACAGGCTATATTAATTAAAAATAGCAATGAATTACAAATAAAGATTAGTGTAACCCGATTTTAACATAAATAATAATGTTAAAATTTTACATTTTCATTAATTTATTGCGGAATAAAGCCGACAAGAATTCCGTCTCACTTCCCTGTCCCTTATAAATACGTTAAAATCTACGATAATAAGCAGTAAGCGACATTGTTGTCCTCAAGAATCAAAGTATGGTGTTAAGTTAGCTTAATGAAGCTTTTGTTTCGATCAACTTGTCAATTGATTAGTCGTGGAGGCACTGTCATCACTGGTTGTCGTGTCTGGATCAGACAAATTCTCATTTATCTGGTATGTATCAAATTGTTGTTGTTTACATAAAAAATATTAAATATATTTTAAATAATATTACACAATAATGTTAAGTTTGCTTGCCTGTACCTACTTATTAACATTATTAATTTTATATAAATTTTCGTAATTTTGGCAATATACATAATATACAGGGAAGTGAGATTTAAAGTGATGTCAATTTATTTTTATAATAACGATTAAATTATCTATAGTTACAATGTTATTTAATGGATTTTAACATATTATACACTTTTATTACAAACTTAATTTATAGATTAAGGTTATAAGCACTATTAATTTTTAAATTTTTGAAATTGTTGATTGCAAATTTTTTATACTCGTTAATGTAAAATGCAGTTAATAATTTGAAAAAGTTGTCGTTGATTATTTGAAAGTTAAATTGTTAATTATCATTAATGATGATGATGTGATGTTCTCCTGGCCAATTCCGGCCACGGCGGCCAATCTCATTGAGACTAGCCAACTGCGCAGGAGATATTATAGTGCACAAGCGTACGCGCAGACACAAGTGCACTCTCTATTCCTATCACTCTCATACTCCGGTGGGACGACCACTCGACACGACCGGTGAGAGTTAAGGCGCAGGACCGACTGACGGCTTTACGTGCTCTCCGAGGCACGGGGGTGAAACACCGCCAACTTCCCAACTCCGGGCTGTTACTGATAATTACTATACAGAAAGACTCAATAACTAAGCTTGGCCCGACCCGGGACTCGAACCCAGGACCACCGGGTGTGCAGCCGTACATGTTAGCCACTACACCACCGAGGCAGTATCATAAATAATATTATTATTATTAACTAAATCTTAACTCAAATTAAAAAATCTATTAGTATTTTTTGTCACAAACACTAGATATAGTTTACACACTTAATATTTAAAAAACCTTTCTTACAGATGTCATCATGCCTAAAACAAAGAAAAAGTCTCAAAGTAGAGAAGAATTATTAGAAAAAAAGCGTAGAAACGAAAGAGAACGTTATGCTAGAATAAAAAAAGATCCGACAAGATTAGCCGCTTATAAAGAAAAAGATAAACGAAAGTATTTAAAAAGAAGAGCCACGGGAGCTTTAAAAACAATTCATGAAATGACAGAGCATGAAAAACGTCAATGTAGGAAGTCGTGGAAACCTAAATACTACAATAAAAAATGTGTTGCTAAAAAAACTTCTGAAGATATTATGAGAGCTAATACACGATCAAATCGCATTAAAAAGAATTAATTTGTGACTTACTATCGCCATCAACCGAAAGTCAATAGTACAAAGATATAAACAAAACAAAGAAATGAAAAAAACAGACGATCTAATTCAGGAACTTAAATCTAAATAAATCAAGTATCAAAAAAAGAAAGTGAACTAAAGAAGCAACAAGAACAGCTCAAAAATCCACTAACACCCAATTCAAAAATGTTACAAATGGATGATATTTAAAATTGTTACTGAACTATAAAAAAGACTATTCGTAACCTAATTATTTTTTAGTATTGTAATTGTAGTTAATGTAATGAGTAAAAAGTATATTAAGTCATTCGACAACGTGACCACTTTAAATGTTATTCTAATATTAAGGACAAACAGTGCCTGATTATTATTTTGAGTATTATTAGAGAGTTGTTATTATTTTTGAGTATGTTATTTTGCTTTAGTTTTTGGAATAAATAACATACACCTTAAGGATTAATTTTGAGTTAATTGTAACATTTCTGAACATATTCTCACTTCCCTGTCAAGTTTTTACTTCCCTATCATCGAAAATTGAAAAATCTCTATTTAATTGATAATATTATCATAATTTTGTCTGGCTCATCTGTGATTAGATTTATGCAAGTTCTCGTGTACTATTTACTGCTAATATTATTTATCAACAAAAAAGTGAGCCTCAAAATTGGCCCATTTTATTCGAACTTGAGTAGAACTAGCCATATATACTATATGATTTTAATCTATTTGTTTCCAATACAAGCCTCTGGAGTAAAACAAGGTTCACTTTTCAGAGTTTTCACCCATTTTTGTTAAATCTCGCAGTGGGAATGAAGTTATACAAATGGGTTCTTATCGATTCGTCCGAATACGCAGTAAGGGACCTAAGTACAGATGGAGATGTAATAGAAATCCTAAGGGATGTCGCGCCACTCTCTATACAAAGCATGGCAATATAATTAAGTTTTTAAGAAAACATAATCACTAGCATGTAGATATCGTTGTGGTTGTATCCTTCCGGTTAGTGTTTCATACAAATAAATATAGAGTATATAAAAAAATACATACAGATGAATCTAGAACCTCTTTCTTTATAAAAGTCGGTTAATGAAATGTTCTATCTCTTAATATTAATTGCATATCAATATAATTTAGTAAATACTATACTCATTTTTTACACTTAATACCTAGGTTTCTAATTATTTTCGACTCTTTCGTCAATTTCGAGTCGATTTTTAGTATTTTTTTGTAACAAATATCTTATCATAAAAATTAAAAATAATTTTTCTATAGGTGAAATAATTAACTTTTAAGTGATTTTGAAGTCTGTAAGATTTTTGTTAAGTACTTGTGGTTGATGATTTTATGTTTTCAGATTTTATAGTAAATTATGTAAAAACGCGGCGTGGCAACCCGGTGATGGAAGTAAGAGGTTACAGATTCAATAGGGTGCATGGTAAAGGACCTATATTTAGATGGAGATGCTGTAAGAACCCTAGCGGTTGTCGAGCCACTGTGTACACGTTAGAAAGCGAGATAATAAAGTTCAAAAGAGAGCATAATCATTAAAACAACTACATCTAACGTAGTAAGCGACATTAAGATGGGATCTCGTGAAGCATGCGTATGTATGTGAAGAGAAGATAAGAAATATTAATTGTTAACTAGTGATTCTCCCGTGATCGAATATCGATCATTATTGGTCAAGTTTGAACTTTTTGAGGTTCTTTACTTTTTAAATAAATAGACTAGAAATACAAAAAGATTGTTTTCAAATCGGATTTATAGTTTCAGAGAGCTATTTAACGTACAGCTACAGGCTCTTTAGAAGCTGAGTAATTATAAATAATTAAAAAACAAATCAATAAATGTTTTACTTCTGCTGCCATTCTCTATATAAACTTTAATCCCTCCACGACCAGTTCACAATAGATTTCTTAGAATTTTAATTAATTTCTTAGAAATTTACCTGGAGGTCTTAACTATACATAAGCTCCAATTGTTTAAAAATCAGTGCTCTTTTCACATATTGACATATAGATTGCTGTCCAATGAAAGTTAACGGACTGGGACTAAATATCTATTATGTCTCATACGACTTGTGAACAAGTATGATATATGTGGCCATGCTTTTTATTTTCCCGTTGCATTCTTGTGTTAACCGGATAACGAATAATTTCGAGAATTTGTACATGTCCTACGAAAATAGAGTTTGTATCTATATTATTATTACTCGTATCAGTAATTTTAACAGACGTTGTAATGTAATCATTTTGAAGTCAATTATTTACATAAACAATCAAATTAAACATAACAGAAATACATTGAACATGTCCGTTGTGTATTTATTTATTTACCTTTAACTATTTAGTTTAAGGACTAAATGCTTATTTACGTAATGGTTCTTGAATATTGTTTAAATTAATAAAAGGGATAATATAATATATTAGGCATGCATCAACTAAAAGGTGCGTAGCAAGCATTTTATTCTAAAAGAACAAGATAAAATCACTATAATTAATGTAAATAAAGTACAATATATTCAACCAAGAAACTTTACTTCATCAATTCATGCATTTTATTTTATTTTCAATTTAATTAGTTTTGTGTGATATTACTAGCGCCGGTGAAAAACAAAAACAAATTTATCCCACAGGAACCGTTCATTTTTCCGGGACAAAAAGCAGCCTATATATTATTCCAGACTAATTGTGCCTAATTTTGTCCATATCCGTTCGGCCGTTTTGGCGTGTTGAGTAACAAACATCCATCCATCCAAACTTTTGCATTTATATAGTAGTAAGATTGCATGCTGAACTCGAAATGAAGTCATTCGCCAGAGAACTAAAGTAACCGACATCGCGAGCAGAATAAGCTCGCTGAAGTGGAAGTGGGCTGGTCATGTCTCCAGACGTACGGATGGCCGATGGAGCCGAAGCGTGCTAGAGTGGAGACCGCGTTTAGGCCAGCGTAGTGTAGGACGCCCTGCAGCACGATGGACAGATGACCTAAGAAAGGTGGCTGGCAGTGGATGGATGCAGGCTGCCCAAGACCGGGATGGTTGGCGCTCTTTGGGGGAGGCCTTTGTTCAGCAGTGGACGGCGATAAGCTGATTGATGATGCTTACAATTAATCATATTTTTATTATAACTATGCCTAATAAGTATAGTTAGTAAAGCCTGAGATTAATTAATGTTGCGTTTTTTACATTTAAGTAACGTTATCACAGTGTATTACGATGAATACTTTTTTACAGTTTTATCATACAGATGCACCCATATTATTACACCGATGGTGGAATTAACGCAAGAGGATCAAAAAATGCATCGCCGTAAGCCGAGAAAAAATTGCCTTCGTCAAGTTCGACGTTTCTTATAGTTATACCGATACGAAATGATTAAACTTCCTAATCGCCACCAGTACCCAAAAACGGTAAATATATTTAGAAATATTCGAATTTTTAATTATTTTTATATGTCATATAATTCAAATTATTTTTTGTTGTTTGCATTTACGCGTGTCAGATATCTCAATGGAGAGAACACGATTTAGATCTATTAAATAAGATTATTCTATAATATTTAGTTCAAGTATACATAAAAGGAAGAAATTCAACGTTAATATATGTAGTTGAATTTGGGTAACCTAAAAATGAAGTTCTCCTGACCGATTCCGGCCACGGCGGCCAATCTCATTGAGACTAGCCAACTGCGCAGGAGATATTATAGTGCACAAGTGTCCGCGCAGACACAAGTGCACTCTCTATTCCTGTCACTCTCATACTCTAGTGGGACGACAGCTCGATACGACCAATGAGAGCAGGACCGACCTACGGCTTTACGTGCTCTCCGAGGCACGGGGGTGAAACACCGCCAATTTCCCAACTCCGGGCTATTACTGAGGCTTACTATACAGAAAACTCATTAACTAAACTTGACCCGACCCGGGACTCGAACCGAGGACCTCCGGGTGCAGCCGTACATGCTAGCCACTACATCACTGATGCAGTACAAACCTAAAAATATAATAGCCTAACCTAAAAAAATAATAATACTATATGCAACTGTACTTAAGTATTACTTTACAATAATATTGTATGCGTTAGTAGTAGTGATACCAATATATAATAATAATATGTATTATATACCTTTTATATTGTATACCTAATATATTAAGATATTTTTATTATGTTTTATTTACATAATATATGTACATGGACAAAGCTAATTATTTTAATTCTTAAGTATAAGATAGTTTTTGTTCCTATGTGGAACATTTTTTTTATTGATCATGGTTGATAGTTATTGTTTGTTTCAGGACCTTTGAGACGTGTAAAACCTTATTCTTTACCGTGACCATGATTGCTGTAAAGAATTCGAAACATCGGAAACCAAAAATCAAAATAAATCGGAAAAAATAGTTTTATTAAAAATATTAAAAATCGATCTCATTTCCATTTTATGATATATAAATTACTGTAATAATAAGATTATTTATAGTAAAAATTCGTTTATTAAATAATAATATTCTAATTTAGAGTACTGTATTTCTTCAAAGTTAAATTAACTGTAGCTATTAAATTATACTAAACGTATATTATATTACGAGTAGTAACATATATATGAGTATATCAATGATGAGTAAAAGAAATAAATATTAAGATATATTGAAATGCAATTTATTTTAAATGTTTTAGTTTTTCATTGTACTGATTTTATTTCACGGAGATCATTAAAGAAAAATAAATGGTTTCGTTCGTAAAAAAAATATTTTTTTACCTCGTGGACTTCGTGGAAACTGGTGTTGCACTCGAGTGTCGCAAGGTTGCAAAGCTACTATTATTACGATGGACGAGGCAATTGATCTGCTTAAAAATAAGCACTAATAAAAACCCAGTAAACTTTCGGAATTACATTATTTTTATAAATATATTTATGATAAGAAAGTCATTGTAGATAATATGTGAGGATTTTTTACGTTAAAAGTAATCATTACCTACCCACTGGATGCAGATGCCC